AAAATCAGGGAACAAGGATACAGATTCTGAATACTTGCCATCAAATACCTCTGATGATGATGATCCTTACTATTATTATTATAAGGCTAGGAGAAATCGTAGTAAATTGAAGAAAAAGCCTGTTCCATCCACAAAAAAAGGAAAAAGTCAACCTAACATCAATCCCGATTTGCAAGGTCACTGTCCAGCTACCGGTGACTGTGGAATTACTGATGTTACTGTGTCTGAAAGTACATGTGTCTCTGAATTCAAGCAAGAACTTGACCCAAAGGACTATCCTGAACCTCTAAACCCTGCTGGTAGTGATGTGCCACATTCTGACACTCTGAGTCCTTATAACACCTCTGATTATCGTTTTGAGTGCATATGTGGTGAACTTGACCAGATGGACTGTAAGCCTCGTGTTCAGTGCCTCAACTGTCACCTGTGGCAACATGCAAAATGTGTGAATTATGAAGAGGAAAATCTGAAGATTAAGCCTTTTTACTGCCCTCATTGCCTTGTTGCAATGGAACCAGTATCAACAAGAGCAACTCTAATCATCTCTCCAAGTTCCATCTGTCACCAGTGGGTAGATGAGATCAATAGGCATGTAAGGTCATCATCTCTTCGAGTGTTGGTAAGGCCACTTGGGGCTAAAGAGAGAGAGGAAAATATAAATTCTTGCTTTTTCATGATAGTTTTGAAATCTTTGTTACTTTGTTGTTTATCCCCCAAATTAGCTTAATGATATAATAGTAATATGAAATCAGAGTTTGAAAAGAAACTGAGACAAAGAAATATAAGAGTTTATCTTTTATGACATCAGAATTTCATAAGTTTAAGTATTTAAGTGTAAAGGTGTGAGTGCTTTTTTTAAAATGATTGATCATTTAAGTGAAGAAGTCTTGGTGTAAGCATTTATGCTATCAGAGAGAAATTTAATCCAGTGCAGCTTGTGTAATAGTAGCTACTTGTCAGATCTGCTGCCTCTTAGCTCTTGAATCTACCTCAAGCCTGGAAAATAAGAATTTACTGATTCATCAGATATTTATTGAGCACCAATCTTGTGCCAGGAACTATACTAAGTTCTGAAAATAACATCCAGTCCCAGACTTGTGAAGAGTAGATGATTTCATATAGTGCTGGTACATGGTAAGTGGCCGTTGTGTCATTTTGTGTACTAATATTAGTACTCTTCACTACCTTTGTTCTTCCTTCTTTCCATGCAAATATTACTGAAGGTTTTCTATATTTAATCTACTTTCATAGGCTTAGAGAATACAGTAATAATTAAAACATTTTTGCTGTTGAGGAATTCTTTTTGCCTTCTGTGGGAAGATAAACCTTAGTTTGAGTCTTAGCTCCATCAGTTTTGAGCAAGTGACTTTATATTTCTTTTATGTGGGATAGGAATATCAACTGCTGGCAGAATTGTTGAAGTTTGGAGATAATGCTTAGCACAGTGTGTGAAACATAAAACACATTTTGTGAGGATTACTCTTACTGTTCTATTTTTTCATACCCTTGTGTTTTCACATATGCTGTTGATTCCGTCTACCTACCTATATACAGTCTTTTTCCCCTTTTCTTCACCTATGAGAACTCCTGTGTGTTCTTCAAGATATATCTCAAATTGTAACTCCTCTGTGAATTCACCCTCTCCACCACAGAATTGATCTTGTCACTGTGATCCTATCACTTTTACTTCTGTTACACTTCCTTTCACATTGTTTCTTTTATTCATCTTCTGCACTAAAACCTGTCTTTCTCTAAACAGGTATGGGATCTGTCTCATAGCATGTGTGGTCCTAAGCAAATAGAAAGGGCTCAGCAAGATATAAATGAATAACTATTTCATTTGTTTTTGATGAGCCTTTCTACAATAATATGTTCTGATTATTTTTTAGGTTTATCAAGGAGTGAAGAAAGATGGCTTTTTACAGCCTCATTTTTTGGCAGAACAGGATATAGTTATCATTACCTATGATGTCCTTCGCTCAGAACTAAACTATGTTGATATTCCACATAGCAATAGTGAGGATGGGCGTCGCCTACGGAATCAGAA